CCTCGTAGGAAGTGGCATTTGTGAGTACAACAGATGTGCCTCTGTTGCTGTTATGTGGCAGCAGGGACTATGCAGGTATAACTCAAGTCTCTGATTGGCTGACTGTGTGTTAATCAGGGGGGAGAGTACGCTGGGTGTGCCTGCCTTGATCAGGAGAGACTAAAGAGGTTGTAGACATTCAGTGACAGAGTCTCCTGTTTTTTTGGTTTTTCTTCATTTTAAAGATGCATTCTGCTGAGCAGTAAACTCATGGTTGACAAATTTTCTCCCTTCCAGCACGTTTAATGTCATACTATTTCTTTCTGTTACCAAAGGGCTCCAATGAGAAACCTGCAATTAATCTTCAGAGGATGCCTAGGGCTGGATGACTTTGCCGCCCTCAGATGCTTCCAGAGTTCTCTCTTCAGTTTTCAATAGAGGCACTGTTACTCAGGCCCAGGCTATTTCTTCCTCCCCCTCTTTTGTGGAGTTGAGCCACCTAGATATAAGGATCAATGTTTGCATCAAACTTGGGAAACCTGGCAATTATTTCTTCAAATATTCCCTCCTGCTGGCTTTGAGGCTGCAAACTTCATGGTGAACAAATTCTACAAGCTGTGAATGGGTGACAGCAACAAATCAGGCACCTCAGGCCTCAAAATGGGAGAAACTGAACTCAGTCAAGAGTGGAGCTCTCAGTGAAATCACTCACGTCAACACAACTTGGCTTCAGCCTGGTGAGACCCTGAACAAAGGACCCAGAGACCACACACGGATTCCTAACCCACAGAAACTGGCAGGCCAAAATATATGTTAGGTTTCTGATAAATTGTAATGTAATAAACTAATGTAAAAAGGGGGAAAACTTCCAAGACAGTAGATTTTAATTAAATTTGTTTTTTTTTTTTTTTTTAGGGCCAGCCAGATGCTCAGTGGATTAAAGTACCTGCTTGGGCAGACACAGGGACCTGGATTCAATCCCCACGTGCTGTGCTGGCCCCAACCCTGACCCTGACCCTGACCTCAACCCCAGGGCACTGAGACTGGGTGTGGTGGCACACGCCTGTAAGCCCAGTGCTTGGAAGGCTGAAAACAGGAGCATCACTATGAGTCTGATCTGTGTAGTGAGACCCTGTACTAAATACATGAAAAAAAAATTTTTTTTTTCAATTTTTATTCTTTTGATACAGGGTCTCATTATGCAGTTCAGACTCTAGTGATCCTCTTGTCACAGCCTCCCCAGAGCTGGAATTACAGGTGTGCACCACCACACCCAGTTTAAGTGGCTGGCTAGGTAGAGGGCCTGCACAGCACGTGGTATTGGAGATCGAACTCAGGTCCTTGCGCTTGCCAAGCAGGCACTTTGACCACTGAGCTATCTCCCCAGCCCGACAAGAGGTTTGAAAATGATAGCTTCAAATGTCATTGAAAATGAGATCTTCTCCCTGTCAGTATTAATCATTCATTAATTTATTGCACAATGTTTTATTAGATTCCCACTGTGTTAATATCAATAGGCCTTGTATCAAGGTGACAAAATACCTGTCATTCTCATAAGAATGAAGGATTTATTCTGGCTCACACTTTCTAAGGTTCAGCCCACAGTCACTTGACCCCATTGCTTTGAGCTCATGACATCGCAGTATTTCATGGTGGCAATGTACAATGGAGGTGGCCTGTTCAGTGCATGGTAGCCAGGCATGAAAAGGGACAGAATGGGCAGGGTCTCAACATCCCATCCAAGGGCTCCATACCCCTCACCTAACTTCCTTCCTCTAGGTCTTGCCATTACCCAGTAGTGCCATGCTGGGGACCCAGGCTTTATCACGGGGCCTTTGAAGGACATTCCAGATCATTCTGTAGTATCTACTGTGCTCCCACAGGCACGGCACTTAGCACTGAGCACAGAGGATGAGCAAAGCAGTCTCCTCGTGTACAGCTTCTCAAAACCACCCTCTGCTTTCGACACACGTCTATTCACTGCTCCCAGAACATCATCTTTTTTCTTCACCACTTTTGCAAACCTTATCCTATTCACAACATCTTACTCTCTGGGAAGCTTTCCATGTTCCAGTCTGTGTGCATGGAGAACACCAGGCAAGTGTCCAGTCCACCAACCTGAAGAAACACTATCAAGGGTAACAGGATGCTAACCGCTAGGCTGGGTTTCGAGGCAGCATATAACTCTAGGGATGGAGTAAGGAGGTGTGAAAGGTACAGGGGAACAGTGGGGCCAGCTACATCCTGAAGATATGACAACTAGGTTATGCAGCAAGAAAATTCATTGCAACCAGGCCAAAACTTCATCTGTAGTTGGATGTCTTTTTTTTTTTTTGACTGGCTCAGGCTGCCTTAAGGGCGGGTCTGGTAAGGCAGGTGGAGGTGGGGATTGAACCCTGGTATCCTGCACCTGACTGCATTTGCATGAGCAGGCGCTTAAACAACTGAGCTAACTGGCAGGCCCCCCTGCAGTCGTATGTCTTACGGTTCAGTCCCAGACTGATAGTTTCAAACAAAAAACTTTTACTCTCTGCACTGACCATCAGCCAAAATGGAAGGAAATTCAAGCAGAAACAGTATGATGTTCAGGCGCAACCACAGAAGTAGAGCCTAGAAATCTATTGTGATTCTAGGTGCAACCAGGAATGAGAACCACTGAGCTGGGTGGTTAGCTAGTGGTTAGCTTCACAAATCCTCTGCAGGTCAGGACTGCTGTATCAGAACCTGGATGTAAGCTGGGCCAGAGATGTAAAATGCAAGCAGGAGAAGCAAGCAGTGTGCCAGTGGAGACAGAGTGAGAGTGGTGACTAACACCACGGAATCGCAAGTAACTGAGCATAGGTTTTGTAGACCTTTTCAACAATGAATTGAACATGTGATCTCTAGCAACAAATTTCCTACTCATATTTGGCTTGAGTTAGTATTAAAATATGCCGAAGTTTTTGGAATATCCAGCTAAATAATTTAAGGAAAGAAAGCCCTATGATACCATCAGCAAAGTCAGAATACTAGGTCCTAGGTCAAATTTTCTGTTATTCATGTCCTCAGAAAATGGGCAGTATGATAAAAATTCAAAATGGGGATGAGAGTTGATCTCAAACAGGCCCCATTTATGGTAATATGTGACTCTAAAACACACTTCAGCCCATGGGAGCAAATACTTGAGTAAAACTCCATGCCAAAAGCACAGACACAGATACACATGTACTGCTTTGATTTCAGTATCCTCCAAGAATTCATCATGATTGAAGGATTGTTCTTGGCCAGATCTAGGGGTGGGCCCTGTGGAGGGCCTCAGGTCACTGAGGCAAGGCTTTGGAAGAGACCGTGGGATGCTCTGCCCTCACTGACTTCCTGTTTCATGGTCAAAACTCATCTACACATGTGCCTCAAGGAGGAGACACAGTCTGTGTGGGTGCCAGGGCTGTGCTCTTGGCCCTCCCAGACCACGAGCTAATAAACTCCCTCTTCACAAACAGCCCGTGTCAGGTAGTTCATTCCAGTGATGGAAAGCTGCCTAAGACACAGGCATGAACTAGTGACTTAAATTTTAAGTAAAGCTTTTGTTTTTATTGGTTGATCCTGGGATTTTTAAAAGTGTAACTGAATCATGTATTTTTGACTTTTAAACCAAACAACATCATCCAACTATTTCCCCTGGTATCTCCCCAAAACTGGCTTACTGCTTGAATATTCCCAGTGGAATTTGTTTTGGTAATTGCTGCAATACTTTATGAAAGGACCATTGTTCAAAACTATTAGTTTATATTAAAATAACTTCGAGTGCTTTACAAAGATTTGTCCTTGCTCGTTTGGACAACGTGTATAACTATGCAAGAGATGTGAGAATTAAATGGATCCTTCCAGAGAAATCTTTTATATGATCATTTGGTTCTCCTCTTTGAACTCTTGAGTAGGTCAGGGAGACACACAGCGAGAGATAGAGAGAGGGGAGAGAGGAAGAAAGGAAGGGACATGGGCAGGAGCTCAGCATTTATTTGCACTTGGAACTGTATCAAGTTTGCTAACTACTGCCTGGGATCACCTTTCCTTTGTCCTTGCCCAGACTCAGATTTTCCAACTGCCCCAAGGCGAAAGAACTGGGATGGTGGTGGAGGAACTACAGTACAGAAGAAAATAATGCCAAGCTCCTGATCATACTCAAATAACCAACAAGAGGACTTCTGGTCTAAAGGCAAAACAAAGAAATCTGATTTTAAAAAAAGTATGAAAGGCAAAGACTTTACATAAAGTAATAATAATCAACTATAGCCACATGAGAAACCCAAGTGTAGGCTTTTACGCTGACAGAAAGAGAATGAGAACATGGCCATAGCAATGAGGTAACTCATGCCTGTAGTAGTTCTCTACTGTCACAGACTAAGTATCTTACATGTACTAATTAAAACTCATAACACTTCTGGGAAGCATACTGTTACCCTATTACCTAATAAGAGAAGCAATAGCTTATGCTCCATTGTGTTAAGTTCTTCTTGTTATTCGGTTTCTGAAAAAAGCAACAAGTATTTTCCTTGAGCCAATAAAATAACTACAAAAATAATTCCTTGGTATCTGGTGTCTCAAAAATCTGAATTCTACTCCAACCAAATTCTACTTTCCAAATCAAAGAAAGAATTTTCCAAGTATGTCATATAATTGGTATTTCTGTTTTTCATAAATACCAAGTCAAGAATCTGTTACAGTTTATCAAGCTTTTCAAATACATTTTACAGTCAGGTACCCTGTATCCAGTAAGCCTCAGATCTGCAATTCCATCCCCCAAATCATGATATAAAATTGTCCTGTAACAGTCATGAAACTACTATTTTCACATTACAACATATATAAGAGAAATGGCTGAGACAATTAGGCCTATCGGGAAACAGAGAAGGATTAATGCCAAGAGCAAAGTTTGTCTTTCACAGAAACATGGCTAGGGTGAGGAAGTTTCTAAATTAATTTTTTAAAAACATATGCTTAAGAATAGTCTTATAATGACGCTTTAGTTCTCTTGGACATACCTTTCTCACGTCTGAACTCTTTGGTTCTGTTGTCCACGTTATGATTCTAGAAACAGCAAGCCTTGTCTCACTAGAGTTTACAAAATCTGTTGGATCCATCTGTCTGGCCAAAGACTCAATGTATTTTAGAATTGCAACTTTGACCTGAAAGACCCAATAAACATAAACATTAAAGATACCTGATGAGTCTTTGAACCGAATTCTGCCTTTTTTTTTTTTTTTTAAAGACAGTCTCACTGGGTTGCATGAGACTCATAAGCTGACCTCAACTTATGATCTTCCTTCCTCAAACACCCAAGAAAATGGACAAGCTTGTTATCTAGCATGAACAGAATATTTAACTGATTCTCATGGGGCAGTCCACTGCCACAGAGGATACAGGTCCAACGGCCACTCTGCTGTCCCATGTTCCATGTCTCTCATCAGGTAACACTTTTAGTAACCACAGTTATGTTCTGCCCCAATTTCTCCAACATTTCAATTGGTTTTGATCCCAGAAGAGGAAGATTATTATTTATTAGTATTAGGCACATCTTTAACCCCAACAAGAATTAATGATAAAAGAACAGACAATGAGCGACTGACCAATACATCCTTCCTCCCTTTCATTTTTTTTTAGCTTTTCTTTTTTTTTTTTTCCTTCCTCCCTTTCATAATAACATCTTGTCATTAGAGGTATGATTTCCATGTTAGAAATGTTAACATTAAAGAAATATTTCAGTAAGATAACAATCAACATATCAGAAGGTGTTTTTAATTTAAATATTGTATAGAAGATTACTAATGTCTAAATACTGGTGAAGACACAGTATACACTGTTATCAGAAATATAACATGGTACAATCATTTTGAAAGTTTCCTAAAAAGTTATATGCATCTACCTTATGAACCAGTAATTCCTCTCTTAGGCACTAAGAGAAATGAAACCATGTCCACAAAGAGCAAGACAAGAAAGCTCATGGTAGCTTAATTCCTATTAAATATTAGTCATGTATATTAAAAAGGGAAATTTCAAGGAAATTTCAGTTGGAGGAGTTGAATTACAGTGACAAACATTTACTGACCTTCAGGTTTGGAGTTTGAGTTTGATCCACAATAAATCTCATCAAAATGTTAAACTGTTGATCAAATGGGAACGAGTCCCTAGGTTGAAGGAAAAAGAGAAGTGCTTGCTTTAAAACAATCTATTACAGAAAAAAATGTAAAACTATATAATAAAAATATACTGTTGCCAATTAATATGGGGAAATCCTGCTTCTGTTTTTTAAAGTAATTTTTGTTTTTAATAAATATTATATACACACATGGTTATGCAGAAAATTTAGCAAAGACTCCCAAACACACTAAAGCTACTTGGAGTAACTATCTGAAAAATGAAGACTAAGCAGTAATCTTCAGAAAATAAGGCTGAGATTCCTCTTGGGCTTTGCCCCCCTAGTTATTTCTGTGACTATTCACTTTTACCTCCTGACTGGGCTTCCTTAGAGCTGACTCCATGTATTTCCTCCTTGTCATGGCTACTGTGCAAGACCCATTTTTGCTTAGTCTCTGTGAAGAATGCCCTGTCACACTCCACAAAGGGAAGTTCTCCACCCAGGTACAGCTCATCCACAGAAGCCCGGGCCAAGGAGGCTCTTCTCTTGCTGTGTTTCTTGTCTCTGACTGACCCCACTTCTCACAGTCACCGCACATCTCTGGCTGGATCAAGTGGTCCTGAGGGTCTCCTTGCTACAGAAAGTCAGTCCTCTCTCCTTTAAAATGCACCATCATTAGCACTAGCTTAACACTGCATAATGGAACCCTATTGTGGACAATGCTAATGCAACTTCTACATTAAAAGGAAAAATAATGCAACCCAAGTATCTGTTAAAATTGAGGCTGAAGAGGCTGGGGAGATAGCTCAGTAGAATAAGCGCTTGCCTGGTAAGCACAAGGGCCTGAGTTCAATCCCCGGTTCCGGAAAAAAAAAAAAAAAAAAAAAAAAAAAAAAAAATTGAGACTGAGCAACTGTATTACTGTCTTTGCAATCTCTGAAAGAGAATTTTGTTAGTTTACAAAAAGCACAGTAAAATAAATATGGATGTAGGCTAAAATCTATAAAATGAAGCAAATAATATCTATTGTAAAAGTAGTGATACAAAAATTCAAAGAAATAATATTAGGAAAACAAAATTTTATAATGTCATATGGGTACCAGAGTTATCATTAGAATTACTAATAAAAAGTAAGCCAGGTGTGGTGGCAGATGCCTAAATCCCACCACTCAGGAGACTGAGGCATTGTTGTGACTTCAAGACCAGCCTGGGCTATAAAGTGAGTTCAAGCCCAGCCTGAACTGCCCAGCAAGACCCTGTCTCAAAAAGACAAAAAAAAAAAAACCTTAGTAAAAAGTAAGCCCGATCTGATGGCAGTAGCAAGGGATACATGGAGAACACAGGTCAGTATGTGATGTCTGCCCTGTTGTAGGCAAAGCAAGAAGCAAGGAACCTAAAAAAAAAGAAGCAAGGAACCTGTGGTGGCTGAAAACAGGAGGGACACTATGAATCCAGGCTGTGTAGGAGACCCTATACTAAATAAATAAAATTTTGAAAAGATAAAAAAAAACTGAGAAATTCAATAGATCACATCTGTACTCCTTAACCACCAAATTAAGGAATATAATCCTACTATCTGACCATTCCTAAAAATCCAAAATGCCATAAATTTACCCCAAATTAAGTGACTTAAATCTGGCTCACACATTTGGCCTTTACAGAGTGTTATGGCTTGCATCTAGATGTCACCTGAAAGCCTCATGAAATTACGGATGGCTTTTCAGAGGGGCTGTTTCTAGAGAGTATGACGCTGGGATTAAACTGTGACATGCTGGGATTAAATGTGCACAACTACTAAATTAGTTCACGGATTGGATAAGCACAGTTCTGGCTGTGGCTAATGAGAGACCCACCCCAGGTACAGATGGCACCGCCCAAAGGGTGGGTAGCCCGGGAGGGTTAGGACAGAGAAGTCTCCGCTGCGTAGCGTGCTCTGCTCCCGCGGCTCCTGCCTGCCCTGTGTTGCTATGAACTGCTGCTTCTCTGTGATATCGCTCTGTCACTGCTTGGAGCCAACTGACTATAGAGTAAAGCCACTATAACCCAGGAGCCAAACAAAAACTTTCCTCTTAACTTTGGGTGTTGGGTATCTTGTCTCAGCAACGAGAAAAGTAACTAAGACACAGTAAAAAAACTTAAAAAAAAAATCTTCAAATATTTTTACCAATTCCTATTTCTGACCTTTTCTTGAAACTCTTCTATCAACAGCCCACATTCCAATAAGGCCACAGTGGCTACAGCTTTCTAGCCGGACAGCAATCCCCCTCCTGTTCATGGTACTCAAGGCATCAGCCCAGCTCCTTGTCAATCTCTGGCCACACTTCCATGAACCTACTGTACCCTGGTACACAGTAATTCTCCCCAATTCTACTCACCCTAATCATCGAAAGGAAAGGTGGAGTCCAGAAGCCTTATTATAAATGTAGTTATATTACTTTGCATTTGTTAAAAATCAAAAGAAAATCTATTTGGATAACTATTCTACAGCAGTGAAACTGCAGAGCCCCCTGCCCGACCCATGCTCCTAACAAAAAAACCTAAAAGGCAAAAGCCTGCTAGCATTAGTGAGTTAAAGAAGAAGCACACAGGGCACCCAGAGCCACGCCCAAGAGGCACGCGTGGGGGCAGCAGTAAAGCAGCAGGCGCTGCTGCTAGTCAAGCGACGCGGAAAGGGCAGAACACGTGTGAGCACAATCCACCGCGCCACACAGAATCTTCTAAAGTTTTACATATGTCTATTTGTCTTGGGAATTCCCCAAAATACTGCCAATTCGAGAAAGACAGGTAGCTCATCTGCACTGGAGGGATGTGTCAATAAAGAAGTCCACGAGAGGATGTGTGCAAGAGAGAGACCTGAGTGGAGGGCAAAGACCACGAGTCACTGAACAAATGACAAGAGAGCAGGAACAAGAACCTTGCAGTATCAAAGTGGTTGAGCCCGTAAACACTTACTTACCTTGTGACATCTAGAGCCTTCTGAACTTTCGCTTGCACAGAACCAAGTAAATCTGCTCCCATTTTCTTAAGTAATTGTGTGAGAAGAACAAAAAGCCAGTCTTGCAAGTCATCCTTATGAATTATTATAAAATCCACAAGTGTCTCCAAAAACATACTAAACACCTGGATGCAAAGGAAAACGGAACACATCACATATTTAATTCAATCTCCTCCACAGTCCGGAAAACATCAGCACCGCCCAGGCTCGCCTCACCCAGATTCTCATCACTTAAGTTCACACCATCAACAACCATTCATGTCACAGAAGGCAAATGTGATGTGAAAAACGGAAAGGAAAAGGGCACTTACTCTCTGTTGGGAATTCCACCGCAAACCAGGCCATGCAACAAAACAAATTTCATGTTAGTCCACAGGGTATGAAAATCATATTCATGCAGTTTCTCCAAAAATCCTGAAAAAGCTACAAACTGATAAAATATTCTTTCCTCCCTCAATATAAGCCTGTGAAGGTCAGTAGAGATAAAATTAACTCTTCTGATTTAATCCTGGAGGTGGAAATGGGGGAGGCAAACACACAGAAACACATGTACAGGGAAGGGGGGGAGAGAGAGAGGAGAGAGGAGAGAGGAGACAGGAGAGAGGAGAGAGAGGAGAGAG